AATCATTAGTCACGCTGCGAGAAAATGCTTCTTTTACCAACATTTTGTAGATCATTAAGCTTAACCAAAATTAGAGTGATTAATTTTTGTTTCAATTAAGTATAAACTATTTTATATAAAAAACATGTTAACGACTGGATGGGCTTTATCAACCGAAGATATGAAATGTGCCTGTTTTTCACTTATACTAAACCAAAAATCAGTACATATATTTTATAACTTTCTTCCAAATCAGAGTTCTTCGCTGTCTTCTTAGACTTCCTTCATTTTATTGTAACATAGATTTGTAAAATTGTTATCCATTTGAAATTTTAATAAGCGACCAATCATATATGAGTAATTATTTAAGTTTTTAAGTTTAACGAATTTGAACACCATTAGGTACCGGCGATTGACGCATAGAAAAATTGTCAACCGTTTTTGAAAGTTAATGCTGCTAATGCAAGCGAAACGTCGTACGTAAGTGCTGATGGGCCATTTTTATTTAAAGAAATCATATTCCAATTTACAAAAACAGTTGAACATTCTGATTTTACCTGTTTTAACAGTCTTCGTTCTTTTAGTTACGCTAATGGTGACTTTTTAATAAGAGCAACTATTTCTTCTGCATACATTAAAAAATGTTTAGGAGATGCTGAGTTCTGTTATTTTTCTAGAAGACTCTAAGTCATCTTAGTTAAGTTTAAGAGAACATATGTCTACAATTTTTAAAGTAGCCACGCCATAACCGCTTATGATGATAAAGCACTGTGCCTGATTGTGAGAAAATCCAGTCTATCAGTAATTGAAGTTCAGAATAATGAAATTATTAAAACTCGGGGTTTGAATTTCAAAATTAGATGAGACTGAACGTATTAAAGTAAATCATACGACTAACCTGAACATTACAAATGTAAAGTTAATTCAGCAGGCAAAAGCAGAGTTATTTGAACACGCGAATTGTTCACTCAACACTTATTCCATATAAGGGTAATTACTTGTAATTGGAAAACGCCACTAGATAAGCTAAAATTGTATGAAATTAAACCTTTATAAATCAAGCGAAATCTATGCATCATAAATTTGATGCGGGCGACTTTAAAAGTTGCTGTATAATTTTCCAACCGGCAAGTAACACAAGTGCGGTTCTAAATTCTAAAACGTGATTGTTTTCCTGCCGCAGGTTTGCTAGACGGTAAACAAACGGTAACAATGTTTAGATAGCGAAATGTAATTTTGATTTTTTTAATCCCATATCGATTGGACCCTGTATAGGATATTGTTCTCTTGCTGCTTTACGGAATTACGAGCATTCTTAGCACAGCTTTACGAGTATAGGATTCAAGCTTTGTAGAACCGGCCGTAATTACAGAAGCTTGCTGTGAAATCGTGAAAATCACTTTGGCTATTATCATGGTTTTTTAACGAGCATAAGTGGCATTTTATTGCAATTGCATTTAGAGGAAGTTTAACTAATGTGCCACACCACACGGAAGTTTGAATGATTCTGATGTTAGAAAGTAATAAAGAAAGAAGTACGCCATTGATGAACGGCAATACTTGGTCCGTAAACGGTCATAGAAAAAAAATAAATTGTAAACTACAAGAAACTTACATCTTATAAAGCAATATTTAGCACGTGGCAAATTGTTCAAGTGCTTAAGTATCCTCTGGACATTAGGCAAGTTTAATAAAACGATTATGTTACTATATTAATGTATTAATGTTCGCTAATAAATTTTTAAATTCACTCAAGTTTCCCTCAGTGAATAATAGCTGAAGCTGTAAAGGTTCTAATAAAACGTATACAGTTTCTCGCACAATTTGCCTAAATGTCAAAGCGTTATTAGATACTAAACCAGCCAGACGATGTTATATATGCGATTCTTCAACATGAGCAGTTGAAGAATTAAGAAGTGTAGAAGAACCTCACACCAGAATTATTTTTCACATCTGAAATAAAGTTGTGCCCAAGAAAATTAGGCCTTAATAAGTTATATTTCTTTGTATATTCATGAGCTTCAAAAGCATTAAGCGATAGTCTCTATTCTACCCGAACCTATCTAATTTGTTACTTTTCCTGAAAGTGGACTATTTGCACGTAAAATGTGTTGAAGATAAGCTTAACCCTAGAAAAGATCCCAAAAATTAAGTTTAAATGAGATCTCATTTACTGCTAAAAGTTACATAAAATGGCAAAGTAGGATCTATCTTGTTTATCCCTAAGCAAACCTTAAAGTGTACCAATAAGTGAAGCTGAATCGAAAAATAGCGGCATGCACAGAATTGCAACATTCACTTCCCAGGACTATATTTAGCGAGCTGAGGTTCAACATGGCACCTCCAAACCGAAAAGTTGGAACTCTAGTACGAAGATTAAAAGTTCCTGTAAAAAATATCCAGTAAAAAGATCACATCTTTTATTTCACCTGTAGTAATTTTCCTCGGCTGTTCTTAGCAGAGTTAATTCTCAACTTCTTGAATATATCGCCTCTTGATGCTGCAAGATCGATGATTCAAAGTTTGCAAGAAATGTTGTCTTTTCTTGATGCTTCGAGATCTTGATACAATAAGAAATTCGACAATCCTACCATTTAACATTTCTATTGAATGATCTGTTTTAATTTCTGTAATGTTGAGACATCAGTTTTGTCTTTTTCATATTTTATTTCCTATTGCTTTGTTTCGTTTATTTATTTTGCAATTCTAAGCAGGTATTTCTTTTCTAGACTGTTATTCTCAACATCAACCTTTTAATTTATTGCCTTATGTTTTCTTTAGATAGAGATATTCGTTAAATTTTACTACCAATTTAAGTAGAAACTAACAAACTACGACTTTTTTCACGGTAATATTATTTATTATATTAATCGATTTCGACCATTCCAACATTCAGTTTTGATTTTTTTACCAAGACGTATAATTTTGATGTTCCGGCTCGCAAATAAACCTCAATGGTGGGAGTTGTGAGAATGGAGAGTGGTTTCCGTTAGAGTGCAACAATCCCGAGTGTACCATAACTTCAAATCAAGTGGAATAACTTTTAAGTGACACTTTCCTATATAGTCCAGTAAGTAATATCAGTTTCTTATGACGTTACGCTTTATTTTGTGAATGTGAATGGATACTATCGTATTTTCATTGTATGCCTGTTATTGTCTCTTCTAAAGTGTGTTCCAATAAGAACGACGGATTAAAATTTTAAATAAAACATATATATTTGTGGTATAAGTTTGGAACATTTATTGAAAAATGAAGTAGGTACACATCATAACGTTATGAATGGAAAAGACATCGGACAAATGACCACCTCGGCTTTGCTGGCGTAGACGTGCTCTTTTCATAAAATAAAATTTTCAAAGACTGTTGCGCATAAATTTGCGGTATTTTACAGATACAGCGTTGAATTTCATCTGTTAGGCTTCAATCGTTGTTGGTTTGTTCACATAAACTTGTGATTTTAAAAAACCCCAGAGGAAAAGGTCCAAAGGCGTTAAATCGCGTGATTTGGGCGGCCGATGCCGATCTCCAAAACGAGAAATAACACGACTAAGAAATGACTCGTGCAGTATTTCAACATTTTCTCTGGCTGTTTGACATGTTGCATCGTCCTGTTGAAACCACATGCTGTTGAGATCGATATTTTGCAATTTTGGCACAAAAAGTTAGTTGACATTTCACGATAACGAACACCACTCACGGTTAATGCTTGACAACTGCATTTTCGAAGAAAAATGGTCCGATGATGCCTCCAGCTCACAATGCACACCAAACATTGACTCGTTTTGGATGCATCTATTTCTGAACGATCACACGTCGACTTTCAAAACCTCAAATGGGACAATTTTGTCGATTAACGAAGCCATCAAGGTGAAAATGGGCCTCATCACTAAAGATGATTTTCGATGAAAAATCACCAATTGTCGTTGTTCCAAAATCCAACCAACAAAGGTTCTTCGTTGCTCATGGTCTTCCGGTTTTAGCTCTTGAGCCAATTCAACTTTGTACGCATGAAGCTTCAAATCTTCTGTTAAAATTCGAAGCATAGTGGTTGTGGAAACACCAATTTCGTGAGCTCTATGCCGAATTGATGTGGTTGGGCTATCCTCAATATTTGCACGTACTGCTGCGATATTTTCAGTCGCGGCCAGGACAAACGCGTGTTTCTGTTTCCCGTTCATTAACAGACCCAGTTTGCTGAAATTTCTTCATTAATTTTCTCACAGTGGCTTTAGTTGGAGCATTCCGATGGCCCTTAATTGTACGCATTTTGCGAACTGTGGCTGCAAAACTTCCGCCGCTTTGATAATAATTTTTCAGAATGAGAATTCGTTGTTGTATTTTGAACCGCTCCATTTTACTTAACCTCATGCACTACAAAGGGCGCGCAATTCAAAACCGTCGTTCTTATTGGAACCCCTTTATATGCCAAATATATTATAAAGTTTGTCAGCAATACTGCTATTGCATTATTGGTAAACCACATTTGATTAAAAACCAATTGATGCTGCTTATTTAATTCTTGCTCTTGAACTCCAAGATTTAGAGAGATCTTCGAACAGACCTTTTGACTAATCAATTATCATTTTTAAAACAATTAATTTCCTATGTGATAGGTACATTTATTTTAGATCGAATATTACTCAGCAGCAATAAAAATAGTGTTATTTCAACTTGCCACCATACTACTATTATATCTATTAAGGAACTACCTGCAACAGTCGATAATACCTGGATATACTTAAGTTACATTAGCCACTTATCACGCCTCCATGTCATTAGCATACCTATACCGAAAATAGGTCATGTTGTAGAAACCCGATTTATCACATGGAACTTAAATCGCAGATTCCAATTGTGCAACTGATTCCTAAAACTCATATATCAGTTGCACATATCTCACTTACGGCGTTTATGGGCCGCTATCTTTGACACCTCGCTATTGGGTGTTAACTTGTGACGTCACGTCGCTCTGACACACTTCACGAAGATTAATGAAGTTCCTTTTATGTTTATTGCAGGTGCTACTGACCGACCACCTTTCTTCAATTGCGTATCGAGGAAAAGAATTGAATGGGAGTGGCAAAAATTGGCCAAGATCTTATACCATTGCACTCTTAGAGTTCAATCAATTTCAACGCTCATTAATTCAATGGTAAGCAAATTCAAAATCTACTAAGCTAATGCATCGCATAGGTATGGCAACAACTAATGGTATATTGGAAAACAAAGCCAAATTGCATTTATCGATATTTCCAATTCAGCTCGAAGCAAAAACATCACTCTTTAGAATTATATGCACATTTGTTCGAGTGTTTATATAGGCGATAAGTTACATTGTGATTGCAATAACACTAAAACAAGTCCACATTAATTCGTGTTCCATTATGAGTGTGTGGGCTCCAACATAATAGAAGTGTTATTAAATTCTTCCGCTGAAAGCGTTTTGCACGGAGAAAGATTTATGAAGAGTTGTAAAATGTTTTACTTGAGTGACGTTACTTAAGTCTCTCATATTGCTGAACAGATATGATGTGGTCACTATGGCGAATTGGTGCTAGGTGACAACTATTGACGCTGCTTTTTGACTGGATTTAAAATTTTATGTTAGAATTAGTCGAAGAACACGATAGTAACTAATGTGCACTACGAAATACAATATTTTGTTTACCTCATTTTTCCAAAGCCACCGTTGATAGTCACATGAGCAACTAAAGGACACCAATAAACTAAATAATTTCTCTTTAAGTTGAAGTTTAACTATATTCAAGCAGTTTACTTCAGTTTTCGCAATTCTACATTTTGTTGGACATTGTTATAAATGTTATATTAATAATAACTATCAAATCCTACTGTATCAAAATTATGTTGTTAATTGAAAATGACTTAAAACTATAAACATTTGGAAAGAGGAATAATTTCAGAAATGCTGAAACTGTCGTAGGTATACGTATAAATTGTACGTACTTTCCTGACTGTGTTTCAATTCCAAAATTAAAATCAAATCCTGGGTTCTTCAGTCATTTATTTCTCAGAAAAAAAGAAAATACATGCCAAGGCGTAAAGTAGCAACAACGCTACACATTAAAACTGATGATGGTGGAAAACACCGAAACGTTTTTTTAAATTGATAAATGAACAATAAATAAATGACTGAAGAACCCAGGATTTGATTTTAATATACGTATAAAGAAAGCACAAATTGCCTTACAGTTCGGAGGTTTAGTAAAATAAATACCTGTTCTTTAATTTTTGCTTTTCGCATCCAATAATCACCGGCATTAAATAATCCACAGTACATACTACATACTACTAGATCCAAAAATTCAAATTTATTACATCGCAATAATGCAAATAGAAATATAAAAATTGAAAATAGAAAAGAAGGAAAGATGACGTTGATCTTCAACGATTAAATGAACATCCATCATTCCACTACATTTGTTTAGTAATGAGAAGATTGTTTTTAATAAAATATCAATAAACAAAATGCACTATTTTTATTGCATAAAACCCCATCACACTCTAGAAAAGAAAATGGGTGATCGGGAATATTATGAAACAATATTGAAGTGCTCAAATTTCTAGAGAAAATGTAACGAATTTTTTTTGGTTATATGTAATCCAACGAACCTAGATATAGAATTATGAACGTATGCGCTAATAAAAATTTACAAGTTTTTCAAAAGTTCGAAATGGATTTTGAAATATGCCATTTTATTGCCGGAAAGTACACAGACATTTTAAACTTGATATTTTGGTAAAATAGTTGCTGACAAAAGTTGGTGAACTTTGAGGATTTCAAAGAGATGAAACATGATATTCTACAATATGCAACAAAGTTCATATGTTTATAATAATATTTTTTATTATTGGCAAGTAGACAAAACCAAACATCAACATAAAATGCAACCTATAAAAAACAGCGTCTTTAACAAATCAGATGAAAAGCCTGTGCAGGAAAAGTAAAGCAGATAGAAAATAAAAAAGAGGGACCCCATTTCCATATCCAAGGCATCGTGAGCTACATAATGAATGCCTGATTTCTATATTAAAAATATAAGATCGATCATTCAAAGAAACCGATCCATTCACCTGAACGACTGCGATAGATCAAGCGTAAATAAGGCGGAGATTTAAAAAAAGGATGATTAGAAAGGAAGAGGTAAGAGTAGCAGGCATTTACGTATCAAAGTTTAAAAAACACTAAACGGGATTTATTTGGTCCATTTAAATGGCCTTAGGTGGCCTTAGCGGCGGCGGATTTGCAACTGTTTGACTGATGGACGCTTTGTGCACGATGTCGTAAATAGCTAAAGGTCAGTTTGGCATTTGCTCGAATATTTCTAGCATTCCAGACTAGTAATTCGTGTATTTAACCGCTGACTATAGCGGATAAATTATACTGAGAGGAAGCAACATAAAATGCGTCAGTTTATTATTAAATTAGCAAAAGGATTTGAAATGAGATGATGATTGAACCATCGCGTGCCTATACATACAGTTAACTCTAAACATGAAACCTAATATTGTTTTGCATACGAGCTTTTAGTTTAAATTTAATGACAACTCGCATAATCTAATTTATTTCATGAGTAGTATCTAATTAGAAGAACAATTCTAAAAAGTTCGATTTTACATACGACACCATACAAATGTTTGGTGTCGTATGGTCTATTTTTAAACACCAATATTC